CAGTTACCCCACAACCTGCTGAGGCCAGTGTTTCCCTAGAGTTTGTTTGCATCAAAAAGCATCTTCCTGCTTGGAAGCCCACATTTCCTGGGGTCCCTCTCTGAGCTCCTGTGGGCTACCCTCTGATGGATGAGGCCTTTCTGTTCCTGAGACTGGTCAACACCACATCATGAGTCCCTTGGCCACTGTCAGCAGTCTCGGGGTGGGGGGTGGGGCTTCCTGAATACCATCGCTGGAGTTCAGAATGTCAAGCAGACAGTCAAAATACCAAAGCAATTCAGCCTTAGGAAGGAACACAGTTGTTTCCTCAAAAGACCAGCACACCGGCTTCCCTGCACATCAAAGGAAAAGATCAGAGCTCGGAGGCATCACTGAAAATTCTGCTTGTTTTCATCTGGCCTGAGTATACCAGGAGGAGGGAGGCAAACACACAGGAGGGGAAGTGTTTGCTGAACTGTCATGTTCATGTTCAGGCGCCTTCTGGAGCAACAGCTGGGGAGACAGCTCAGTGACAGGGCAGAACAGCCTCACACCCTTCTGCTCTTGGGTGTCCCCGCCTGGCCCCTGACCAAGGCTTCAAACATCCCCGAGGCCAGATTCCCTTGCTCAGTCCCTGGATGCAAGATGCAGCTATTTGGGGGCAACAGGAAGGCCTTTTTCTCTGGGTCTCCTCCATTGTCCTAAAGACCCAACAGGAAGTCATGGAACTAGTCATCTGCAGGTCACAAAATGAGCTATTTTTGTGTTCTTTATAGCTTTTAACATTTTCCAAGTTGCTTACAATTGAACATACATGAAAAACACTGGGGTTTCTGAGTTTTAAATAAATTTCTTCTGTGAAAGTGTATTGGCACAGTCCTTCTTTCTTGAAGTCCCACAGAGGAGGGCCTGCCATTAACAATTACTTTGAACCCTGGGAAGATAAGCAAAAAGTTCTTGACCCTAGAGCTGCTTGAGGAAACTGCAGGCCCATGACTATGACAGACTATCTCTCAGAGTTCCGGAATGACTTGATAGGAGAGAAAGGTATGATACGCACCCAAGGAAGTTGGACTCCACATCAACTTCCATTTTGCACAATTCTCAGTCCTAAAGTCAAAGTTGAAGAAGCACAGTGACTGGAGAATACGGGCCATGACCTTCATTTGCCACTTGCATGAAAACTTCACCTCTTCCTCTCTCCTTGAGATCCCAGAAGATACCAGGTCAGCACCCAGGACAGAGGCTTTAGAGGCTACAGAGAGGGCCCTTCTGCCCTGGGCAGCCAGCTTAGTCCAGAGCCTGATCAGGTAGAGACTAGGTATCTGAGCCACAAACAATTGGGAATCAGAGTCGGAGGGGATCTTAGTTCACCCCCTTGTTTCACAGAGAGGTAAACTGAGGCCGAGTGATCTTCAACAGCTCAAATGAGGTCATCTAGTCACTTACTGACACAGGTGACCTGTTAGCACATTGTCTATGAGCTACCGGATAGTTTCATACACGGTCACTTCCTAAGAGGAGGCACATCCTGAGGCCCAGAGGCTTCATTCAACTTCTCCCACTTCTGCTGCATGTGGGAATCTGCTGAAGCCAGTCTCAGAACTGTCCCCAGACAAGATTTATAAATACTTAGAGACTAACTGATTTGTAAACATGGCCACGTTCCTAAGAAGAGTGAGTGGCCTCTGCATATGGCCACGTAGGAGCCACTGCACTGGGGGGGGGGGTGGCTGATGCTATAAAAGACCTAGGGTGTTCACATGACATCAGAGCACAGCTCCTACAGAGCAGCAGGAAGGGCAGGGGCTCAGGCAGAGTGCAAAGGTAGAGACTCCTCTTCTTTCCCACCCTTTCCTTGTTTCTCCTGTGACTTTGTGACTTCTTTCCAGTTCTCATTTTATCCAAGTTTCATCCAAACATAGTCATTGGGAGGAGAAGAAAACACGGTATGACAGGTCTTCCTTGGGGTCCCTAGTTTTATCTCCTATGCCTTCTGGGAATTGGCTATAGTAAGGGGACAACAAAGGCCACCAAGGTGAATGCCAGTGCTGGGACAGAGTCCCAGGGCCTGTGAAGTTAAGGGAGAGACTCACCAGTCACTGCAGGGGCTAGAGGGATGTCGAGGATGCTCGGACATTGAAAAGATCTACAATTCTGGAGGATGTATGAGCACCTGGGATTCTTAGTTCTCTATAGGAAGAAAGTCTAACTGTGAAAGTCTGGCTCTGAACTAACTAATGCAGCCCATACTGATGCTGGAACCACTGGCTGCTGTTGTAATTGCACATTACAATTTGATATTTCCCCGAAAGTACCAAAATGGTGACTATAGTAAAAATCAGATGTATGTCTGCCTGGCTTATGAGTATGGCTTGGTATTATCTTGATTTTAAATTACATCGAGGAGATGACCATAGTCTTTCAGCGACAGGGGCTTCTGATGGTCTTAAACTGAATCTGCCCAATTACAGAAGAAATGGACAGATTAACAGATTAACAAAGCACAGAATTTATATAGCACTTGCTCCCACCTGGCCTCACTCGAGTATGAGATACACATATTCCTGCAATTAGCTAACAAAACGAATTATCAGGAAGCATTCAGAGTGCAAGTGAGTGCAGAACTCTAGGTGTGGGACAGGATTTATCTTCAGGAGCCAACATCTGCATAGTGCAGAAGGAAAACAGGTCAAAGAAGACTTGAACTTGGGCAGGGCCCTGAGGAATGATCAGAATTGCATGCATGCATGTGCACTTGAGACAGAGAATACGGGCATTTGTGAAGGTGTAGCAGGGTGTGAGAGAGGATTTGGGACAGAGGGAGGGAAGCTGAGGGTGCACAGGCACAGGTGGCCCTGGACTGGCCACTCTGGGACACCAAGGAGCACACCTGAACTCAGCAGAGCAGATACTTCAAAGAGTACCAGAAGGCACCACAATGGTGCAGGTCAGTGACAGGGGCCTGTGGAGACATTATCAACAGAGAATTCATATGCTAAGATCAGAGGGGAAACCTGGAGACAAAGGCCCTTGATGAGAAGGAGGGCCAATCCAGCCTGGCTGGGGGTGCCTTCACAAAGCCAGGTTCACTCAGTTCCCTTTCCTGGGGAGCAAGCTGCAGTATTCAGGGGCTCAATTCAGAAATACGAGGCAGTCCCATTCTTGTGCAGCAAGTTGCTAGGCCCAAAGGAGGAGAGACACTCCTAGAACACAGCCTGCTGAGGATGAGACCCAGAGCGCAGGGGGTGTCAAGAGCAGCATAGGAGCTCAGGGAAGGATGAAAGAACGAGGGCCAATCCCCTACTTCTGGGGTCTTGCCTTTTGCACTCCCATTGGGGAAGGAAGAGAAGCGTTCATAGGCTTGGTGCTCCAAAATGCTGACCCTCCTATGATGGAGTCCCTGTTGCAAGGGGCTGACCTACAGCAATTCCAAAGGTACTCATGCTTTTCGATGGGTAACTTGTTTATCCCTTGTGTTCCCTCAGCATCCACAGAACCCCTGTGCCCAACGGGGAGCTGATCAGCTCATGAAGCAGCTGTGGCCCAACAGCTGAAGGGCCCATCATCTTGACACCGGAGCAGGGTTGTGAGTCCAGCACCTATGACAGCAGCACCTAGGACAGCCAGCAAGGGCCACTGGCAGTGAGGGAGACCTCGGGCTGTTTTCTGCTGGGAGCCCATCGCTCCTTCTGCATCCAGCTCGCTAAGATTCAACACAGTCAGGCATGTTAAGTGTGTCTCTCCACTTGCTTCTAACATGAAAGAAGCTGCTGGTTCACATGGCACACATCACGTTATACGGTTTCTGTCTGATATATAATGTACCATGTCTTATCAAGTCATCTATCACACATCCTAACCTAGCCTGGCCTATAATCGCTGTTCAGGATGGGAAGGCAGAGAAGGACATCTCGCATCCCTCTGTTCAGCGCTATTCAATGACAAAAGTTCCATAAGTATAACTGCCTTGAACCTCACTTCTTTTATCTTGACAGTGGAAATAACGATAACATGCAGCACAGAGGGTAGATGTGAGGACAACTGCACACAGGTAAAGTACTTAGCTCAGTACTTGGAAGGTGCTCAATTATGTTAGCTTGGTATCTTGTTGTTTATCGTTAGAATCTTTACTTGCTATTCCCCTCATCCTGTCTGAAGGTGGGGATGTGCAAGAATATTTGGGACTCTGCTAAAAGAAGATATTTTATAGGTTTCTCCACTGGAAAAAGACCTCAGGAATTTAGGCAAGACCCCAGTCTTGGAGCAGGTCCTCACTGAAATCACCTGAAAACTCACCATCTGTCTTCAGAGGAGCTGCCTCAGCCTCCCATCAGAGCTGGTTTCCAGATATAATCCCCCAGTCACTGCCTGCCTCCCTATGGAGCCTCGGCTCGTCCTGCTTCTTTTGGTTCTCATGCATTTCCTCCATGTTTCACAGGATAGTTACTTCTCCTGGCTCAAACCAAACTCAAGACCTACTTCTTCAGACATACTTATTCCAGCAGCTCTACCAAGGATCCCACTCTGACCCCCACCACCACCACAGCTACCTTTACCCCAACACCAACCAAGAAGAGCTGTGAGCATGAATGCCTCCAAGATCAGGCAGCAGCTGCTGTCTTCACCGATTCAGCCTCTACCATTCATTCCATTCATGCTGCCAGATCTCTGCCTGATGTTAGCACCGTGACCTGGCTGGAGTGGCAGAATCGGGAGGTCTAGCTACAGCGAGGGAACTGCCAAACCTGTCACATTCATCTTGCACTTTGTGCGTGCCTGGCACAGAGCAAGAGTCAATCTAGAGAATGAATGAACCAACCAACCAAGCAATCAATGACAAGGCAGGTCATCTCTGAACTCTGCCCTAATTAAATTCAGTAGACATCAATTATGTTCCTCCCACACTCGAGGCACAGGACTAATACCTTAGATCCTCAGCTGATTCTATCTGTCCCACCAGATCCACTCTCCACTACAGGTAAGTCTGCCCAATCTTGTACTCCAACAGGCTGACCTACATGGACATCAAGGAGTCCCTGGTCCTCTGGTTGACAATGCCATGAGGTCAAAGGGAGGGAGGAGCATATAGTCTGGTGGGGATTCTCCCAGATCCTCTGCAGGGCACCCTCCAGGGAAGATCAGCTCCCATCAGCGCTAGCGATCACTTGGCCTATAACACTTAGGCCTGGGGTGGTAAACTGGGGTTCTGCCCACTCATCTGTGGTTTTCCTGTGCCCCGCCCAAGCTTTGTGACCATCTATTTAGTAAGCTCTTCTCAACTTGCCCAATACAAGGGCACCACATGTTTCCTGCCAGGCCCAAAGTCTTACTTGTCAAGACACAGAAATACAACATGGGAAAGCAATTAGTAGTCAATTAACCTAGAAGGTTAGCTAGAAGGAAGTCCGTCCTTCTCCATTTGCTCCTCTTTGTTGGGGAAGAGTAACAGCTTTATCATTTCCTATTTTTACATTTTTTTTCAACAATACATTCAGATTTCAAAAACATTCAAATACAGTCAAAACATTCAGATGCATTCAAAATTCAAAAACATCGAAAAGAATATATATGTGGAAGTCTCCACTGCCTAGCAAGTTTCAGGGGTCGGGAGCTGTGCTCCCCAACATGCAGACCTTTCACCTCACGATGCTGAAGCAACCTAGTCTCTAGAGCTGCGGCCTGGACTTACAGCTTCCAGAAAACTCAAGCCCACACTGTTTCTCACAGCCTGCGACCTGCGGGGATCAGCAGCCACAGAATGGAAAGATGGTATTTTTCCCTTCAGGCAACAGTGTTCTCTTCAGATTAAAAACAAAAAACAAGAGAGCTTAATTAACATAGTTGGCAATGTGCACCTTCTGTTAATGCACTAAAATCCACTGTCATGGGTGAAATCTTCATAGACAAAGTCATTTAGCAGCTCAGTTATAATCCTTGCTGCACAAGGCAGCCCTGGAGTGCTGTGACATCTTTGCTTCTAGGAGTTTGCCTCCAGAGACCACAAGACACAGGCGGGGAGGGGAAGGGACAAACTCAGTGATAAATGACTGTTCACACTGCAGTTAAATGAGGTCAGGTGGGGCCTGAGAGACCTTGGAGAGAGCGACAAGGTGGCCACATTTCGCATGGAAAAATGGAAACATTTTGAGGACAGTGGCCATGGGACCAAACTCAGCTGACTGACAACCAGACAGAACTCACCAGTCCCTGCTCTCAGCTTTCTTCTCCCCACGCCCAGCAAGACTGGGAGTGCTAGTGCTAACCATCCCCTTTGACAACCAGGAGCTGATAATGGCATCTTAGCAACCTCTGTTTACGGAATAAAGGTCAATACTACATGCAGCAACCAGAGCATTAACCTGACAATTAAACAGAGTTATGAGAGAAGTGAGGAGCCGGAAGAAAGCCGCACAACATGGTCCCAAGTCCCGGGTCCCTGAGCACTTAGACTGCTGTCATTTCGCAAGGGCCACTGTGAGAAAGCCTTGGCTCCTGAGTGACAAAGGGCCACCAGCGCCCAAGCCCCTCCCAACAGAAATAGAAGAAGTCAATAACTGGAGTCTCCCTCTCCCCCACTCTCCACAACTTCCACCTCTGGGCTGACCTGGGGGTGGGGGCCCTCCCATCCAGAGGAGCTCTACAGGGCCTCCATCACCCAGTGCAGGAAATGAAGCCAAATACAAAGGTGCCCCCCTTTCCAGGCAGAGGAGGAAGGCCCTGCAGGTGGGCAGGGTGGAGAGCTCTGCGCAGGGTGCCAGGCTTAGGAAGCTCTTGCCTAAGGGCACTCTACCTGCCTGTGTTTGCTTTTTGTGTCCACAGCCTTCAGATTCGTGCGCTCGTTTTGCCGAGGGAGACGCTGAGGTTCTGGGTGGTGAAATGACTTCCCAAGAGTTAGGGGGCGTAAAGGGCAGGGCCAGGACTCACACACAGATCTGCCTTCCAGAAGGCCCCCTCCGCTCCCTGTCCCCCTGCTTCAGATCAAAAACTGAGTGCGCAGCCAGAGCCCCAAGCATCAAGCTTCAGAGCTGGTGTCACCCGAGAACCCCCAGATCGCGAGTCCGCCGGGCGAACTCTCAAATTCCCAGGCCCTAGTCCAGCTGCATCTCAGGACGCGAAGGTGGCCTGACTGGGGGACCTTTCAAAGTGGAGCTGCGCACCGGCTCCAGCACGTGGTGCTGGTGGCCCAGAGGCCAGCGCCAAGCGCGGGGCTGGAGGGGCAGCGCGGGGCCACCGGGCTGGGAGACGGTTTGGGGGCGCCGGGCCGCAGGGGGAGTGAGGGGTAGGAGGGTCGGCGCGGGGACCCTGGGGACGGCGCGGCGCCCGGGGGCGGTGCGCGCCCTTGGGTGGCGCCCGGGGGCTGGAGGCGGGGCAGGAGGGCAGTGCAGGTCCGGAGAGGACGATGCGCGCCGGGTCTCCGCGGCAGGCGCTGGACTCCCACCCTCCCCCCGCACGCGCCCCGGGGCGTCGTCGCTGTCCCCCCGCGGCGGGGGGCTCGGGCGGGGCCCGCCTACCTCTCCGGAAGGGCATCGCGGAGGGGCGCTCCCCGCGCGGCCGGCCCTGGACGCCGAGGCCGGGAGAAGTCCGAGTGCCAGCCCCGGGGCTCGGGGGCGCCTGTGGGCGGCGGGCGCGGGAGGGGGAGCGGGACATATTTGGGCAAAGCCGGCGCGTCACGGCGGGGGAGGACCCGGCGCGCGGGAAGCGCGCGCGGGGCGGGGCCGCTTAACCCCCGCGCTGCCGGGGCGCCCCGGCCGCCCGCGCCGCACCCCCACACCCGGCGCGGGACCCGGCGGAGCTCCTGAGCCGAAAGGGTGGCGACGCTCACCTACCCCGGGTGGGAAGGGCTGGGGAAACACGTCCTACTGTGTGCCCTTGAGGCACAATGACAGGCACAGGGCCAGGGCTCCGTGGCTGGGTGACCTGGATGGAAATGAAGTGAGGGCTAGAGGGAGCCCCCCCCACCCAAAGTACTTGTCAGCCTCCGACTCCCTGCAACACTGTATTTTGCTCCACTGCCCCATCGCCTCTGGCGGACTTTCTTTTTGCCTATTCGTTTCTGAGGTCCATGAAAGCAGGGGTTGGTTGGTTTGCTCTCTTGTGCACCCCGGAAACTAGGACACCTCAAACACAGTTCAGTAACTATGTAGTAGTCGATGTGGTCGGAGGAGCTGTAGCAGTAGTAGTAGCAGCAGCAGCGATCACCCTCTTAAGGAAGTCTACCCTAGAGAAATGAGGAGGGCTCAGCCCTCAGATGTCTCTGGGAAGGCCAGCACCTAAGAAAATGTTTTGCTCTTTGGTGACCCCAAAGGTCTCTGAGGCAGGTCATCTTTCTGGTCATGGAAGGTTTAATCCCTGCAAAAAGTGCTGTTCTCTGTTGCCTGGTAAGGTCGTGTTAGGAACAATTTTCTGCTATTTCCAGCACGCTTGCAAATAGCAATGTGCCTGCTTTCTAAGTGGTGGGGAAAAGTTCCAGATGAACTGAAAAGTTGGAGCAGTGAGTTTCTTTTTTAAAAATTAGAGTGGGTTGGGCCTCCCTGGTGGCACAAGGGGTTAAGCACCATGCTATGAAGCAACCTGCAGCCTCTGCAGCACAAGTTTGATCCCTGCACCGCCAGGGAGAAACCCACATGGCCAGGCAGACCTCTTCTGTCTCCCTGGCTGTTCCCCTCAATAGTGTATTTCAGTCAATCTGCCTGTTCTGTTCCCTGCTCTGTCTCTGGTGGATCCTCTCACCCCCCCCCCCATCTCTGGCCCGTACCCCAGCTCTTGTATGCATAAATAAATCTTTTAAAAAAAAATTAGAGTGGGTTTCTTAGACTGAGCTCTTGTGTGAAGAATAGTCCATACTCCTTCCCTACCTTTCCACAGAGCCCTGCCAGGGAGCAAGGGCCTGGTGAGACAGAGTACTGTTGTCAGCAGGACTCCTGGAAAGACAAGCATCTGCCTGACTGGAGGGGGGACCTCAATGCTCAGACTTCAGCTCCTAGGCCAGTGCTCTCTCCAAGAAAGTAAGGGACTGCTGGATCTCAGCTTCCAAGCTATGAGGGGTGTCAGCTGCCTCTGCCCTTTACCCTGCCACAGTCATAGCACCCAGTGATCTTAGTTGCCATGGAAAGGAAAATGATCTCAGTCCAGGTCAAGTGCATGAGATTGCACATCTCTGACTTCAAGGCTGCAAGTCACAGTGAAGCTGGAAGACAAAAATTTTTTTCAATTGAGGAATATTTTTTTTTGTATTGACAAATACTTTGGAGGACTCAAATTTTGAGGCAGAGGCTTTCCTTTCATCTAGTTGGCACTTTTACTGTTGCATGATTGCAACACAGTAAGAAATATAGGGCCCTCCTGGTGGTGCAAGGGGTTAAGCACAGCACTATAAAGCAATCCGCAGCCTCTACAGGCAAGTTCGATCCCCACCAGCCAGGGAGATACCCACATGGCGCAGCAGACCTCTCCTGTCTGGCCTGCTGCTCCCCTCTGCAGTGTATTTCAATCTGCCTGTTCTGTTCCCCACTCTGTCTCTGGTGAATCCTCTCACCCCCTACACCTCTGGCTGTACCCCAGCTCTTGTATGCATAAATAAATAAATCTTAAAAAATATATATATATGTGGTCTTTGTCCTCAGTTTCTGGCACACAACCCCTAAAACTCTTGGAATCTCTGGAATAATAAGAATGCTGTTTATAAGTTAGGATATGACTGAGGCTGGGACCAATGGCCAGAAAGATCCAGGCATGATTAGAGTGTTGGGCAGAGCCTTTACATGTGAGGTCCATACTAACTCTGAGCAGTTAGTGTCAGTATTGAATTGAATTGCAGGATACCCAGTTGGTGTTCAGAATGCTGGAGAACTGACTGTTGGTGTGGAAAAATCCCACACAATTGATAACAGAAGTCTTGAGTAAAAGCAGGTCAGATTCCTGAACTTCTGCACTTGGAGTCTGTTTAATGTTGTGCACAAAAGAAGAACATGGAGCTCATTACAATCTTGTTTCCATTCTATGCTCAGAGAGCAGTCCTCTCAGAACATTCGTTCTTTCACTACCAGCTGAATCAGCCAAGAAGGATTGATATTCATGTTTAATAACTCAAGGGGTAGCTCTGCCTTGCCTTTTGCAGAAAGGAGGAAACAACCCAGCAAATTCACATAAGAGACAATAGGTGGCATGTGGGGCCTCTCTGGTGGCACAAAGGGTTAAGTCTCAGCACATGGAGCTATGAAGCTATCTGCAGCAAGAGTTCGATCCTGGCCAGGGAGCTATCCACATGGTGCGGCGGACCTCTCCTGTCTTGCCCGCTGCTCCCTCAGCAGTGTATTTCAGTAGATCTGCCTTTCCTGTTTCCCACTCTATCTCTGGTGAATCCTCTCACTTCCTGCACCTCTGGCCTACATCCCAGCTTTTGCATGCATAAATAAATAAAATCTTAAGGGAAAAAAAAGGTGGTGTGGAAGACTGGATGTGCTCTAGAGCGAATTCATCGTGGCAGTACTGGTTAGGGAAATGGACTGGGATATAGGACATGGGCCTCTGATTTTCAGCCATGGAGAAAAGATTTGAAGTGATTTTAAATGGAGACTATATTTCCCAGCCCTGTCAACAACACAGTGTCAGTCATAGGATGAAGACATTTTTTTTCTTATTCACCAGACTTTCAATTGTGGCTGCTGACTTTTCTATTCTCCCTCCATCTAATGGACTATTGATTTGAACTTGGCTCCTCTAATGCCACATCAGTGTGTTGTTTGAAAAATCTAACCTAATTGCTAGGATCATGAGGAAACTTACAAAGACGCCAAGCCAGGCTGAAGTCTCCCTCCAGGCTCCAGTTTATATCTTCATTAGGATGATCCCCATCAATAGCATAATCTGGTCATTTGAGGTCTCGAGGGCAGAGGTTCTCAAATTTGGAGGGGCCATTTAAACCACTGGCTGGGCCCCACCCATTTCTGATTCAGTAAGTGTAGGGTGTGGCCCAACAATTTACATTTCTAGCAAGGTCCCCAGATGATAAGAATGTTGTTCTCTGAGTTCGAGAGCACACTGGAAAAAAGGAAAAGTGTAACTCAGCTGTGAGGTGAGGGCCTGGGAGAGCCAGACCTGACCCGGATATCCTTCCTCCAGGGCAAGAGCTGCCTTTTTCTCCTGGTGCGGGTAGATTCCCAGCTTCGTGGGGCAGGCAGTCCCCAGGGCCCCTGGTTTTCTTTACATGAGAAGAAAAGAACCTCTTTGCTGGATTTCTTTTCCAGGTTCTTAGGTCGGTCTTTCTTGCTCCCTCTAAGGGAGGGTAGTTCTCAGAGGGAAGAGCTTTAACTCTACTCTAGAAAAGGGCCCTGCCACCACCTTTCCTTAGCCAGGCATTTGCATTTTCCAGCTTTTCTTCCCTAATCATAGTATGCAAGACTGTGTCTCCAATGAAGAAATTCAGACCATAGGAAGGAAGTAGGTTGGGAACCTTTTAATGGGGTTCAGGGAGCAGTGGTTAAAAAAAAAAAAAAGGATGCACGTGAAGTAGGAAGGCAGAAGCAACAGGGTCCAGAGAGTACTTGAGAGCCACACCTCTGCCAGATTCCCCAGTGGGGAACGTCCCAGGGTTATCCCTGCTGCCTGGTCATCTCCATTGCCATGCCCTCTGACCTTATGGCCTGGTAGTTTAAAGCACCTGTGCCTTGAACTTCCCAGCAACCAAGTATTTGCCAAAAGGCAGATTTATAGATATAGCTAGCATGTATGCAGCGGGTACATGCAAAGGGCAAGGGTGAGAGTGCCTGCTGTGTCACTTCCAATGCTACTGATCCTGTCTTCCTGTGCCTCTGTATCTTGTCTATAAAATGGGAATAAGGCATTCTTGTGGGTTACTGTTAAGTATTCAATGAATCCTGTTTGCCTCACGCACACATGCTCAGTACATGGTAGCTGACACCATTACTACTATGCTCACACTGCTACTACTACCATCCTAGCTAGAGACAGGGAGAAGCTACTTTCAGGCTCCCTAAGTAGTACGTGAAAAGGGGTCCAGATCAGGAGAGAGGTGCTGGGAGCCCCTAGTACAACACAGATTGGGTTCACATGGGCGCTCCAGGAA